CGTGCGAGGGGTGCCGAGATGCACGTGCCACGCGTCTCGGCGAACGATCAGCGAGCGGATCGCGCCAATCACTTTCTTATCGGTCAGGTCGTGCCAGGAGCCTCGCGAGATGTAGACGGGGGCCCAAGCCTGGAGGCCCTCGTCGAGGAAGGCGGCCGTCAGCCGAGCGCAGCCGGCGTAGAGCTCGAGGACGCACCGAGCCCTGGCGCGGGTGCGCGGCTGGCCGCCAAGCAGGTGGGGCCCAGCGCCCTGGCCCGCGGGGGGCCCTGTGGAGCCGGGCGGCAGCTCGCCGGTCCCCACAGCGGCGGCTGGGCCGGCAGGCGGCGCCTGCGGCGTGGGCGGCATGCTGACGGTGACGCCGAGGTCGCGAGCCGCGCCCCGCTGCGTCTGGCCGGGCGCGAGCTCGAAGCGGTCGGCGGCTCTGGAGTCGTAGTCGGTGGGGTTCCGCTTGTTCTCCGAGTAGCGGTGGTAGCGCTGGGCGCCCGTGGCGAGCCGCCGAGCGGCAGCCTGGCAGGCGAGCTGCCGCAGGACAGGATTGGCGCACCTGCCCTTCTCGAAAGCCAGCATGGACGAGAGGTTGTCGCCGATCGACAAGACGCGGCAGCCATGGGCCGCGACGGACCGGGTGGCCGGGCGGTGACCGAGCAGGGTCGCGCGGCCCTCGGGGACGTGGATCGGCGCGCCGAAGAGGAAGGCGCCGCGCACCACGAGCTGCCACCTGGCAAGCTGCGGCTGAGGCCGTCTCGACGTCTACCCGCGCGGCGCGCCGGCGGCGGGGGGCGCTGCGGCCTGGGGGCGGCGGGCCCAAGCCGGCGAAGGCGGCGTCGTCGCTAGCGCCGGCAGCGTAGCTGGTCAGCGTAGAGCACTCGGCGCCTGGAAGGTCCCCGGGGTCGTCGGAGTACCGGTCGAGGGCGAGGAAGCGCCAGCGCTCGCGGTTGGCCCCGATGTCCCTGAGCTCGTTGGACTCGAACTTGGACGCAGCCAGAGCGTAGCCCCACATGCTGGCGTCCGAGCAGTAAGGCCCAGGGGTGCCATGGGGCGCCGAGATCGACGCAGGCGTGCGGGATCAGCGCCTTCACGAGGCCGAGCTCGCGAAGCTGCTCCGCGTCGAACTTGCAGTAGTCGCTATCCGAGTAGGCCACGCGGTAGAGGGAGCTCAGGATCGCCAGGGCGGGCCGCGCGAGCATGAAGTGGTAGACGACGTGGCCGAGGATCACCTCTATAGCCGTCGGCGCGCAGCCGCGGCGATCGATCAGGGCGGTGACGGCTCGGCGCAGCCGCCAGGCCTGGTCGCGCTGTGGCGCGGCGCGGCCGAGGATGAAGTCATAGCGGACGCCGCAGCAGACGAAGTCCTGAGTCGCGTAGCAGACCTCGTGGAAAGAGAGGCCGTGCCTCTCGAACTCGCGGAGAATGGCGCGCAGCGCAGCGTCCACGAGCTCCCGCGGGGAGCCAACGACGTTGGCGTTGTCGACTTATGAGGCCCCCGCCAGCTCGCCACGGCCGAGGCGGGCGCAAGGGGCGCGCTCGGAGGCGTTCTTGGCGGCGTCCGCGGGGGTCGAGAGGACATGGCCGATGCCATTCCTCGCGACGTCCTTAGTGATGGCGTTGCAGATGAAGAGCGACCAGCGGCTCACCTCGTCGTAGACGGAGTCCAGGTCGAAGCTCTTGATGGCCATGGGGAAGTCGAAGCAGAACCAAGAGCCGACCTCGAGCCGCCGCATCTGGTAGAAGCCCTGGCGGAGGTCGGCACTTGCCCCGCGGTGGCCCGAGTCGCCGTCCACCAGCGTGTCGGCGTCGAGGCAGAGGCCGCTGAGCGCGGCGGCGGAGCCGAGCTCGGTCCGCGGCGGCCGACGGTGCATGGCCGAGGGCTCCCGGCCATCGATGACCATCCTCAGCGTCCCGTCCTTCTTGCCCACGAAGAAGATGCCGGCGCGGGCGCGGCAGCGGGTGCGAGCGCCCACCAGCCCGATGCGGATGAGCTTCTTGAAGAGATCGAGCCGGAGCTTGGGGTCGCGCCTCAGGCTGACGTCCCAGAACGGGCACACTGGGGCGAGCTCGCTGGTCTCGGTCATCGTGTCCAGCACCGCCTGCGACCAGCAGATGAACCTCGGGGTGGTCGATGAGCGGCAGCAGCGAGTCAGGGGCCAGCGAGCGTATGGGAAGCGGCCGTATGCCGCTGACGAGAATATTGAAAAGATGCGCTTCATAGGGCCGAACGGGAGTTGGCCGAGCGCTGTAGATGTCCTTGGACTTGAGAATGGAGTGAAGCGCGTCATCACCGTCCTCGCCGAGCGGCTCGCCGAAGGCAGCCACTCGCTGATGAACGCGCTGGAGAACAGATGCTTGGGCAGCGTTCGCGGGCAGGGCCGAGGCGAGACGCCGCGCAGCCGCCGGCGGCGCGTCCAGGTCGTTCAGGGCCATGATCGCCTGGTTGCACCGCCGCCGCACGCCGCGCGAGGTGCTGCGTGGTAGCACGCCCGTCGGCGTCGCTCTGCGCAGCAGCGGCAGAGGGAAAGGATAGCCGTGAGCACGGCCAATCAGAAATCGAAGAGCCCCCTCGGCAGCGGGGCCTCTCGCGCGGCCCCCAGCCTCCAGAGAACCAGACCGCGAGGGATCAAAGGCCGAGCGACGCCGGGGCGAGCGCCGCCTCTCCGCGGCCTGGCCGACGGGAGTCACCCGTCGGCGGCGGCGGGGGCATCGGCCCCCCGACCGCCGCGTCCGCGTCCACCATCGCGACCGCGCCCGCGGCCCCTGCCGCGGCCGCCGCCGTCGCCTCTTCCTCCGGCGCCGTCGCCGGGTCCGTCATCATGGCCAGCGCCGCGGCCCCGCGCGCGCGAGATCTGCTCCTCGCGCCACTGCCGCTGCTGCTTCAAAGTGAAAGCCTCGTCTTTCTGGATCTGGGCGATGTGCTTCGTGTACTCGGGCAAGACCAGGCCGCCGTGCTCGTTGACCGTGGAGGCGACGACCGCGTCGAGGTCCTGGAAGTCCGGGCTCCGAGGGTTGCGGGCGACCGCCGTCTCGATCTGGACGAGGTAGCGCACCAAGACCTGGATGCCGACGAGGCTGGGAAGGTTCAGCATGTCCTGCTGCTGGAAGGCGTGCAGCGCGTCCGTCAGGCGACGGTGCGCGCGCGTGATGTTGCTGTTGGGCGAGATGCCCGGCTTGTGGACGAAGTCCAGGTGATGCGTGACCCACTCCATGTCCGTGGCGCGCAAGGTCCACATGCACTCGTGAGCGACCCTCTGGCCGCCGAGAGGGAGCGGTGGGTCCGAGGCCGCGTGCTGGAGGGCCAAGGAGTCAACGAAGGACGACAGGCGCTGGCCAGTCAGCGGGTCGCGAGTGTCGCCCTCGACCCGCGCGTCCTTGCGGTGGTCTGAGACTAGGGCCCTCTCCCGGGCGCCCTTATCAGGGTCGGCCACGAGCTGGCAGAACGTCCAACAGTTGTCGATCATCACGAGGCCGCAGAGGTAGTCCTCGTCGCCCGCGGCGTCGGGCGCGATGAACGCGGCTGGGTCGCTGAGGACCTGGGAGGGGATCCCGTCCCCGAAAGCGCGATGCGAGGGGTCGGCGACTCGCCAGACCCCGGCCGCGCCTGGAGGGGCCGCGGGCGCGGGGCCGACCTGGCCGAGGACGACGGCGAGCGAGCCAGCCTGCTGCCTGATCCGCGCGAGGTCCGCTGCCGGGATCGGGTTGTCAAAAACGTACCTCTCTTTCCACTGAGCCGCAGGGAAAGGGCCGTTGCGCGCCAGAGCGACGACGCGATGCACGCTGAGGTCCAGCCTCTGGACCGAGTAGTCAGGCGTGCTGGCGATCCAGACGCCCGGCGTGGGCGTCTGGATGAGAAGGAGGCGGTGATGCCAGCGCAGGCCCGCAGCATCGTCCGGGAAGTCGATCAGGACTTGCGGCTCCGCCAGGTCTAGCGTGAGGCGGGCCGCCATCACGAGCTCGCGCCCGCAACGCGAGCTGGCTCGGCGTCACGGGCCCAACTGTCGCGGCGGGCGTCGGCCGCGACGCAGCGCGGTCTGGGACTGGCGGCGCTTCCGTGGCGAGGGCGGCGGCGTGAGTGGCCGCCGGGGGCCAGCAGCGAGCGGCGAGCCAGGCGAAGCTCGCCCTGGCCGCCGCGGCCAGCCACACGGCGAGCCAACCGGGGCCTCCCGGCGCCTCCGGAGCCGCGCAGCGCTCGCTGTGGCTGGAGGCCGGCCCGCTGCACGTCAGCGAGCAGGTCTGGGCCGGACAGGCCGGACAGCTGCAAGACGGGCAGGCGTGCCCCCGCAGCAGCCAGAGCTCGGTCAAGCGCACGCCGACCTCGACAAGGTTCACGGGAGCGGCCATGCGCGGACGTGACTCCTGCCGAAAAACCTTTAGAGCACAAATGCGCACGGTCGTGCTCGAAAGAAGGTGAGGCACAATTATCTTCGAAGAGCGTCATATATATATATATATACGCCGATCGATATCTTCTTTCTCCGTTCCCTTCTCATGTCTCTTCCTTTCTCTCCTCCTCCTCCTCCTCCTCTTCCTCCTCCTCCTCCTCCTCGTGCTATTCCTTCTCGGAATCATCGAAATCGTCAGAAACTAAAGAAAACCGGCAAAAACAAAAATGATTTCTGGAGAATTTCTGGGACGGCTGGCGGCCAAAATTCGCCAGAGATCGTAGTTTTTTTTTGTTGTTTTTAATTTTTGGGGTTTTTTTCGCCTCCTCCTCCTCCTCCGCCTCCACCTTCTCCCTCTTCTCCTCCCCCTCCACTCCTTCTTCTCCTCCTTCCCCTCTCCCCCTCCTCCGCTATGCGGCCGGCCGTCAGCATGAGGGTAGGTACCGCAATTCCATCGATTGCTATCCAATCTGTCGCAACCGTTGCGTTGCTATGTTTCCAGGCGGAGCGCACGCATAGAGGTCTACAAAAGATGGTGGTTCATACGTGCGCGCACGCATCGCACCGACTGCCATCGGCTACGACTGCGTCGCGCATCATGTACGCTCGCACGGCGCGGCCGCCTCCTCAGTCAGCCTCGCTGCGGCGCGCCGTCGCCGACTCAGAGGGCGGCCCCCCCTCGTCAATCACGCGCGCGAGCTCTGCCGACAGACCGTCGTCATCCTCGACGTCGATCGTTTCACCGTGGGCCGAGGCGGCAATGGAAGCGAAGATCGCCCTCTGCTCATCGGCATCCACGGGTGACAACGGACCGCCGCAGCCCAACATGAGCCCCCTCGCCCTCTTCGCTGGCGGAGGCGAGGACAAGTCCTCGAACGCACCGTGGTGCGCCTTGGCGAGGCTCTTGAAAATCGCGAGCTGCTCGTCCTGGTCCTCCTTGGTGAGCTCGCCGCAACGCCCAACGATGTTGGGCTGCGCGGAGCTGGCGGCGCGCAAGCTGTCTTCTGGCGGTTCGTCCATTCCGCCGCCGAAGCCGAACGCGTCCTCCTCCTGGGGCAACTCGGCGGGCGGCTGGGAAAACGCCGCAGCGACCGCGGCGGCTGGCGGAGCGCTGGCCGCGCCTGTAACGAACCCTGAAACGTTGCCGACAGCGGAGACAACGCGCGCAGGGCCATCGCCGAAGATAGGAGCAACATGGACAGTCGCAATAGTGGGCACGTCAAGGCCCGCGACCACATTGCTCATGTACCCAATCGACCAAGCCATCTTTTCGGCGTAGTCTGAGGGGAGCGGGCGGATGGCTGGCGACGTCGCGTCCCGCACTTCGCTGACGAAGAGGTCGGGGCTCCTGGGGTTGGGCCACGGCATGAACTCTGCACCATCCTGCAGGTTGGCGGATGCCGCGCGCCAATGCACGCCGAGGTCCGTCACCACGATGACGTGCGCCCTGGCGAGGATGGCGTTGAAGTCCTCCTCTGTCATGACATCCTCCAGAGACGGCGCGATGATACGCTTGAGCAGGTCGAAGCCCTACTTGTTTAGCGTCGCGGCGTCCAGCGCCGCCTTCTCCGCGTCGCGGTCGTAGGGGTTCGCGACGGCCTGTCTGCACGACCCTTGCTCGAAAGCGCAGCCGCCCCACCGAGCCCACAGCAGAGCGTCCTCTTCCTTGGGGTTCAAGAAAGCCATGAGCACATCAGCGGATACCTTCAAGCGGCCAAGCGTTCGCCCGATTACCAACGCCACCGCGACTTCCACTTGGGAGGGCGATGCGGTGGGAAGAACCGCAGTCTCCCTGGAAGCCGCGGGCGGCAATGGCGTGGGCCACGCCAGGCCACCGAACCTTCCGAAGCAGGCCGTCGTCGAAAATGCCAGGGAGGATCTCCGTCGTCGGCTCGCCCTTGAAGAAATCCATATGCTTCACCGTCAGGAAAGTGATCTCATCGGCGGTGCCCTTCTTCTGTATGCTGTACGCCGAATGAACCCAAGCAAGCGTCTTCGAACCGTTGCTCTTGCCAACTCTGGACTTCCCGACCCACAGCACCCCGCGCATGTGGAGCGTGCCAATCATCAGGCGGAGGACGCCATTGAGGAACCAGCCAGATAAGTCCTTCAGCGTCAAACTCCAGCGCGAGATCGGTTTGGCATTCGTCCTGCCATTCTGGTAATTGCGCAGCGCAGTCTCCACCTTGGACGCAGGCCATCCGAATATCTTCGAACCCCCCCTGTTGACCTCTGTGTCAGCCCATTCCATGGGCTGGTTTCTGTTTTGCTGCGGGGGCCATGTTCACGGATGACCGTGTAACTCTGCGCGCGCTCGTCCTCCTCTAGCGGCTGCTTCCGCTCGTGCTGCGGCTTGCTCGTGAAGTACCTTGCGGTGGAGGCGCTGGATAGGCATACATACGGTGAGAAGCCCAGGGGGTCCCGATCGCTGGGTCGCCACAGATAGGGCGCCCAACTCGTTTTGAAAAACGGGGCGGGGGGATGCCCCTGAGCTGGGGCGGGCAGGAGGGGGATCTTTATCCGAGCGCGCCCACCGTATTTGATAGCCCTCGGGCTTCTCCAACATGAACTGGAACGCAGTCGACCCCGCCCGAAAGTTTTTGCCGCAATCGATTTTGTGGGCCTCTCCGCGAGCACACTTGAGGATGGTCGCAGAATGGGCTCTGTTTTTACCGAAAGAAACAACCTTGAGGATGCGGTATGCCGAACACTCGCTGTCCTCTGGCTTCTGGCGAACGATGAAGATCTGCATCGTATACGGGACGACGGGCTCCTGCTTGAGCGACAGCGGCTCCTGCAAGTCCTTGAACCTACCCTGTGCGCACAACTCGTGCACCTTGTCGAAGTCAACCGGGCCCTCGTAGTTGGATACCATGTCGGCGAAAGCGACCAACTTCGGGGTACTCAAATTCGCGATCGGTAGCAGAGGAAGGCCGAAGATAGAAAGGTCACCAGCGAAAGCCAACCTGTCTTTCTTGACGCACTTCGAGGGGTGGTAGTCTAACTTGCTACCGCTGACCACCAACGACGCCTCCTCAAAGGTGAGCTTGCCGTCTCCCCCGGCGTCGTACGCAACCTGCCCCAGCGACTGCACCTGAGCAGCAGGGGCGCTCGCCATGATTCGTGGCGAGAGAAAGGCGGGTCGGGCGGTGGCCTTGGATGACGGGCAACAGCGCGCAAGCGTTGATCACAGACGGCCGCGGATGCCAGCTGAGCACCTGGGAAGGGGGCGACGACGACGAACGATGCACACTGAAGATGGAAGTAAGAAGCAAGAGAGCGTGGGCACGACGACGATGAGTCAAAGATGTGACACGGCTGCGGTGGGGACAATCAACGCGACGTCAATCACGCGCACTCGGGAACACATGCGCGCTGTATAAAAACACACCCCTCGACATCGGCACTCCGTAATAAAAACACACCCCTCGACATCGGCACTCAGTGCGCCGCGTCCATGACCTCCCAGATAGCATCCGCGGTGGCCGCCCACATATCCTTACCCTTGTTCCAGTACTCGAACTGGGCCGAGCGAACCGATGCCGCGAGACGCCTGCTGCCTGGGAGGTCCGTGCGCGTGCCAATGAGGGTTTTGATGGACCTCCAGGCGCGGTCGATGATCTGCGCCCCTGCCTTTACCCTGATCTTGGAGCCGTCGGGCAATTAGTGGGTGACAACCTTCGAGTAGACTGGCTTCAACCAAACCCACTTCCTGCCGATCTTCTTCCGCTTCTTGCAGTGTGCGACGCGGTCGCGCACGAGCCCCGACGTGCGCATCTTGTAGCTGCGGGCCCCGTCAGAGTGCAAGATGACCTTCCTTTTCTCTAAACGGCTTTTTAGGAGCGGCGCCCAATCCGTCTTCTTGATGGCGCCTGGGCCTGGCGCGTTGGCCTCGGTGCCGTCTGACTGGGTCTTCCACAGAACGAGGCTATCAGGGCGCCCGCGCTCGACGACGCCCGCCCGCTGTTCCCACGTCTTGGAACGACCGTCGTCGGACAGCTGGGCGCGGAAGACCGACTCATCCGCCTCCACGTCGAACCAGCGCCGCTGAGTTTCGTCGCCGAAGACAATGTTCGGTCGTTCTTCTCCACGTAGATCTGCCGCACGGCTGCCACGGCCGCGCTCGTGTCCTCGATCATCTTGCGGTTGGCACCTGTTAGCAAGTGTATCTGGGCGGTGGTCATGCCGAGCGTGAGGCAGAAGAGGGCTTTGGCCTTCGTCGACAAACTCGACGATTGGCAACCCCCGCCAGACTTGAAGACGGGGTGGGCGGTGCACGGGTTGACGGTCTTGCCGCGCAGCCTACCGCTGTTGCATCGCCAATGCGGGCCGCGATTGTCATCGTGCACCCGCGCGCCGCAGGTTCCGACGCCGCAGCGAGGGCAGGCGCGGCCTTCCCAGTCAAGCAGGACGCCATCCTCGAGGAGCAGGTCTACCATCTGGTCCGCAGTTTTCCCGTGGGAGCTGTCGTAGTTGCGGCACCAGGTTTCGCGCTCCTTGCGGGATGTCACGGTCTTCTTCCCGTGGCGCACGTACTCGACCTTCTCCGCTTGCTTCCTGCGCTGGCCCATCCTGTCCTTGCCCCTCTTGCGCAAGGGGAACGGCCTGAAAGCACTAGCAGGCCGCTTCTTCGGCGCGGAGGCGGCAGCAGGGCGTTTGATAGCACGCTTTCCCGTCGCCGACGGTGGCAGAACGGTTGCCCAGACGGTCGGTTGAGAAAAACGCACTGAGCCAAAATGTGCTGCGGGTGGGACTGGGGCCCCCCTTGTCTGGAGGTTCGCCGGCTTCCTCTGGTCGTGGCGGTGGCGCTGTCGGTAGTTATGGTAGGAGTGGTTGTATTAGCAACAGTAGTAGTGGTGGTAATAGTACTAGTCGTCGTAGAGCTGTAGCAACAGTAGTAGTGGTGGTAGTAGTACTAGTCGTCGTAGAGCTGTAGCAGCAGTAGTTGCAATAGAAATGGTAGTGGTAGTCGTAGTAGAAGAACAAAATCCCTACGACGCCCATATCAGATAGGGCATCCTAAAATCAGGATGCCCTTTTTGTGCAGCAATGCGCCTGTTCACGTTAGACTGAACATGCTTATCGGCGGCTCCATCGTCGCCTGATTTTCTGGGTGGGTGGTTCGTCCTGTTGCCTTGATGTCATCATTGCACCGCTTTTCCTTCGACGCCCGTATCAGAGAGGGTATCCTAAAATCAGGATGCCCTTTTTGTGCAGCAATGCGCCTGTTCACGTTAGACTGAACATGCTAGTCGGCGGCTCCATCGTCGCCTGCTCTTCTGGGTGGGTGGTTCGTCCTGTTGTCTTGATGCCATCATTGCACCGCTTTTCCTACGACGCCCGTATCAGAGAGGGCATCCTAAAATCAGGATGCCCTTTTTGTGCAGCAATGCGCCTGTTCACGTTAGACTGAACATGCTTGTCGGCGGCTCCATCGTCGCCTGCTTTTCTGGGTGGGTGATTCGTCCTGTTGTCTTGCTGTCATCGTTGCGCCGCTTTTCCTACGACGCCCGTATCAGATAGGGCATCCTAAAATCAGGATGCCCATTTTGTGCAGCAATGCGCCTGTTCACGTTAGACTGAACATGCTAGTCGGCGGCTCCATCGTCGCCTGCTTTTCTGGGTGGGTGGTTCGTCCTGTTGTCTTGATGTCATCATTGCACCGCTTTTCCTGCGCGGCATCCTGCCTGGCAGAAGCGCGTTCCGCCCTCCATCCCCCTGGTCTGCCTCCTCCTCCTCCTCCTCCTCCTCCTCCTCGTCGGTCGGCCCCCTGCTTTGCCTCTGGTCGTGCTCCCCGCCGCGCCGTGCCTCTCTTTGCCCGTTCGCGAGCGAAGCGTTCTTTGGCCTCGCGGCGGGCTCCTGCTTTGCCTAGTTGTCCTGAGAAAAGCGAAAGATGGCCCTCAAGTGAGTGACCCTCCAAGTCGCCCGGTCCCTCAGAAGCTTCGTCGCCTTCGGCGGCAGCTCCTGGTCGCACACGCGCGAGAAAGCCTCGAACCAGGACTTCCAGGCCTTGAGGGCCTTCGCGTCTGCAGCTCCCTTCGCCTGTGCGTTCTCCTTGGCCGCGTTGCTCTCGGCCAGCTCCCTCGTCAGTTTCCGCGCTCGCTCCTGCGCGGGCGAGGCAGCAAGGCACCCGAACAGACGGGGGGGATTTGGGTGGCGTGGGCTTGCTCGAGTTGCGTTTGCTTCGTGCTTGGTGCTCTTTGCTGGCGTTGCTGTCGTTGCGGTTGCGGTCGTTGCGGTTGCGGTCGTTGCGGTTGCGGTCGTTGCGGTTGCTGCCGTTGCGGTTCCGTCTTTTGCGGTTGCGGGCAGGGTGGTGGTGGTGGAATTTCAAAACGTCGTGTCCCGAAACTGCTCGTTGGACCACGCACGTTTCTCGGCGAGCTCCCAGTTGTCCGCCGCCCCGCCCTGGCACCAATCAACCTGAGCATGAGCAGGCGGGACAATGCGTTTATATGTTTGGAGATGTTTGAAGCGCAAAGAGGAGGATAGATCGCAGCCTGCTCTTCCAGGTCCGCGATCTTCTTCAACAGCGGCCTCTGGAATCGCATCTTGAGCTTGTGCTTCGCCGCTTTGGCCTTGTCCTTTTTGACTCTGGCCTTGTACACGCGGTTGTTCTCGAGCTTGCGGTCGTACTGCTCCGTGCCGTGTTCGGGGTTGCCCATGGTTTCCCAGCGGGGCGCTGGCTAAGCGAAGCAGCGGCCTTCAACACGCGTGTGCTGCACGAAACAAAAAGGAGAAGGAGAACGAGTGAAGAAGGACGAAGAGGAGGAGGAAAAGGAGGGGGAGGAGGACAATGGGGAGGAGGAAAAGGAGGAGGAGGAGGAGGAGGAGGAGGAAGAGGAGGAGGAAGAGGGAGGGGAAGAGGAGAGGGAGAAGGGGGAGGAGGAGGAGGACGAGGAGGAGGAGGAGGGGAGGGGGGAGGGAGCAGGAGGAGGAGGAGGGGAAGGAAGAGGGGGGGGAGGAGGAGGAGGAGGAGGAAGAGGAGGAGGAGCAGGAGGAGGAGGAGGAGAGAGAGGGACATCAGGAACATGAGGAGGACGCAGAAATTGGATACAGAGGTTGAGGAATAGAAATGGGTTGCAATCCATTAAGCTGCATCCGTTTGGATTGCAATCAAATGGGTTTCGACTGCCAGCGCATCAACACATCATGAAGAAGAGCATGATGAGGGAAAGGCGAGGAACACTGGAGAGATGAAAGGAGAATGTGTATGATCATGTGGGGGGGGTGAGCATATGTATATATATATAT